TTGTAAAGAAAATGTTTTGTCTATGTGGAGAGAACACTTTGCTATTATATATATATGTGGAGAGAATACTTTGCTATTATATATATAGATTTGTATGCTGTAGATTCCTTTATTCACGTCGATCTTAAATTTAATAATTAGCAAAATATTTGCATGCTAAAAAAAAAATAAAAAATATTTGCATGCTAGGGAATTGAAGAAACTGTGATATTTGCATCAAAAAGGAGAAAAGCGAACAACCGACCGTACGTTTTATGAGAAATACATACATTCGGAAGTCAGTTGTTTACATCTCTCGTCTTCTGCATCTCAATACCTTTGTAACCAATCCACCTCAACACTGGTAAATAATCGCAGATGCTCATCGACATGCTCGATAAAAACCTCGATTTGAAATCATCCAAGAACCTCTTCTCCGATATCTTTTAGATATTAAAGATACGTAACCATAGTAAATACAATATATAAATTTTGTTATAGAAATTAAATTGTATTAATTAATTTCTGTTAAGAAACAAAATGTTACGAATTAATCAAATGGAATTGTAATAGAAAATGATTTTTTGTTAATAAATAAATTGAAAAGAAAAAACAAATAAGTTTCAGCCATTAATCTAGCATATACATGATTATTCATGGAATACAATATTTTTCTATTTTTCCACCAAAATGCATAAAATTTCAAGAGAGATTTTTTAAAATGTTACTTTTCAAAAATGACATATTTTCAAAATCTTTGCAAAAATGTCACTTTTTCAAAAAATAAATTTTATTATATCATTTATGTTTGGGTTAATTATGTTGTATTATAGTTTAATTTTAAGTGTTTAAGGGATTTTAGAGATCAAAACATTTTTAAAGTTTATAATTTTAAATTTTAGGCTTTAAATATCCATAGTTAATAGCATTTTTGCAATTGGACACCCCTAAGTGGCATTCTTTCAAATGTACCTACCAAAAATTGCATTTTTGCAGTTAGTTTGTTCAAACTGACGGAACTCTAAATCCCAATTCGAATTTGCACAGCTAACTTTTTGTCCTCGTTTCCCAGTTTTTCTTAGTCCTCGTTTCACGTCAATTCAAGAGAAAGTAAGTAAATCATGTAAATTTGGATAAATTTGTATCAAATGGGTCATTTTTGTA